CCCCCCAAAACCCCAGAAAACAAGAATTAAAAAATAAATTTATTAAGAAAAGCCCAGAAAAGCGCTGCTTCTAAGGGCACTCAGGGATCCTGGCTGCGCTCTTCCTCATCCTCCACAAGCTTGGGGAGGGGGTCCCGCTGCAGCAGCAGCTCCTGGAGCCGGGTAAAGGCGGCACAGGCACTGGAGAAGTTGTTCCTCTAAGAGAGGGGCACAGGGAATAAGGCCGTGCCTTGCCAGCAGCCCCCCCACCGAGCCCGGCTTACATTCAGCGAGAGGCATCGCAGCCCCTGTCTCCCCCCAGCTCCCTCCTGCTGCTCCTGCCCCTCCACTGCAGCCAGCAATGCGCCCAGGCCTCGCTCTGTGATGCGGTTGTCTGTGGGGGGGGAGGACACGAGCATGGGGACGGGGCCCGTGCTGCAACCAGGCCCCCCCAGCCCCACACTCACGGGACAGGTTGAGGTTAAGCAGCACCCGGTTCCCAGGCAGGATGACATTCCCACCGCAGTGCAAGCCTGGCTCCAGCAGTGGGTGGCTGGGCTCAGCTAGATCACCTGCCTGGAGGCATTGGGAGAGGTCCTGAGGATGCAGGGGCCACAGCAGGGAGTGCAAACCCCCTCAAGTCCCACTGTGCTGCTCACTTCAGTGTCCTGCTGCTCCTCGATGGCACCCTTTGCACCACGGCTGCGGCCGGGTCGGGAGTCTGGAGGGGCAGTAGCTGCAGGAAGAGCAGAATGGGAGCAGCTGAGTCAGGAGCAGCTCCCCCAGCATGTTCCCCAGCACCCTCACTCACACTTCTTGCTCTGCTTGCTCTTGTCCTTCCTCAGCAGCTCCTGCAAAGGCCAGCAAGCTCAGCCCCACTGCACTCCTTGGGCAGCACTTTGGGACCCTCTGTGACCTCCACCCAGCACAGGGAAATGGGGAAACTCAGGCACAGCTACAGCACCACCCACCCCCAGACACCCCCAGCAGGAGTACCAAAGACCCCACGTTGAGACCCCGCGTCGACTGCCTGCCTCCTCACCTTCTTTTTGGTTGTGCCCGTGCGCTGTTTGGTTGCAGACAGCTTGCCTGCTGCTGCACTGACCTGCAGGCTCAGGGCATGCCCACTGCTGGACTCAGCCTGATTGGGGATATAAAAAGAAATACGCTCAGAGATTTGGCCCCCAAAAGGCAAAGCTCCCACCCACCCCACACCCAAAGCTCACTGCACGGGGCTGTCCCTGCTCCTCCATCAGCAGCCTCCTCCGCTCCACCACCTCCTCGTGCCTCAGCTTGAAGGGCTGCAGCACCTCTGCCAGCTTCACTGCCCCTGCATCCCCAATGCGGTTGTGGGCCAGGGACAGGGAGAGCAGTGAGCGGTTCCAGCGCAGCCCCTGGAGGGGAGGGGATGAGAAAGGTGATGGGAGGGGGCACGGGCAGCATTCGGCTCCCCCATGGCCCTCTTGCCCCCACCTCAGCAATGTGCTCTGCGCCCACGTCAGAGATGCGGTTGAAGCTGAGGACCAGCGACAGCAGGCTGCGGTTGGAGGAGCTCATGCTGGAGAGGCCCTGTCCCAGAAGTTGTGCAGCCCTGTCATCAATGCAGTTGTTGCGCAGAGACAGGTGGGAGAGCCTGGGGTTGAGGAAATTGGGAGACATTGGGGGTCGCTCCGTAGCTGGGGATCTGAGCTCTGTGCCAAGGGATGAGCCTGGCACTCACGTGCTGCTGGCCCCTATCAGCACGTGGAAGGAGTGCTCTGGCAAAGGGTTCCCCTCCAGGGTGAGCGACCTGCGGGGTGAAACAGCACCAAGACCATCTCAATTAATGACATCAAGAACTTCCCTCCCCCACCTCACCTACCAGAGCCGGGGGCACCTTGCCACCATCGTGCCTAGAGCAGGCAGTACGTGATCAGTCAGCCCAGTGCTCCAGAGGCTGCAGGGATAGATGGCATCACTCCGCCGTCCGCATCACTGAGCACTGCCTGTGGACCACCCACAGCTCCTCCCCCCATGCTCACTTTAGGGTCTTCAGGCTGCCCAGGGCAGGCAGGCACTTGCTGAGCACACCCAGCATCTCTTCGTCCACTTTCCAGCCTGCAGGATGCGAGATGGAATGAGGGAAAAGTCTCTAACTGTGGCTTCAGCCACCCAAGGGGCTGGGGGTGGCAGGGGGAGGGCTGGCACGGCTCACTCCTCTCCAGTGCTGTTTCCCCACCTCGCAAGAAAACCCCGCAGACGCTCCGTGGGTCACTGTCATTCTGCAGCTCTACTTGGATGCAGCGCTCTCCCAGTCTGCAAGGCTCTGCACCCTCAGCTGTGGATGAAGCAGCGTCTGAAGAACCAAATCTCTCCCTCCCTACCCCCCAGCCACCCCCATTCCCTCACTTGCTGCACAGGAAGGCCGCACAGTGACCCTGGGGATGGAAGTGATGCCAGCCCAGGCACAGAGCTCTGTCAGGTCTTGCTGTAGGAGCCCACAGCACTGGTACTGCTCTGAAAAGAAACACGGGGTGTGAGGGGGGGATCCTTTCAGCCCCCACCCCCCATTTCACCAGGCTCAGCCTTACCAGCACCTTGCTCAGCTCTCTGCTCACTCTCCATCTCTGCAGTCACTGGGAGAGCGTAACACCAGGCAATAAACTTCTTCCACCACTGTACACCTGGGCATGGTGGAGGGGGGTGGGTGGTTGTCATAGTTACCCCCTGAACCAGAGGATGCTACAAAGATCCTCAACGTGGAGGGGTTTCATGGAGGGGGGAACCGTGCGGGCTCCTACAGAGGCACCATAAGGGGCTGAAGGTCCCGGTCCGGACCCACCTCACCACCTGAACGCGGCCCCGCGGTCGACGTAGACGAGAAGCGGAGGAAGAAGCACCACCGGCAGCCCGGAACGCCGAGAGCGAACGGGGAGCGGCTGCCTCCGTCTTCGCGCTTTTACAGGCGGTGCGCCGCTGCTGAAGCCCCATTGGTCCATTTCTGAGCCAATCGATGGGCGCAATCTGTCACCGTTTCCAGCCAATCACCGCGTGCCTTTCGGCTCCGTTTTTCATACCATCGCTGGGCGAGTCAGTGGCAACACCTCTTGGCCCCGCCCACCGCCGCCATCGGACCAATCAGAGCGCGCGCTTTCAATCCGCCTTTGGGCCGTGGAAGCGTCGCTCCCTCCCTCCTCCTCCCCCCCCACCCCCACGCGGTTTCTATGGCCGCGCTTTGCTCTGCCCGGGTTCCTTCCTGGCTTTCGTGCCGCCGCCATCCCGGGGCCAGCGCTCCTGCGTGCCCCTCACCGCCCTCCTCCCAAGGACACAACTCCTGAGGACGCCGCTCCCACAACCAACCCGGCTTTATTGACAGCAATGCCCCGAAGGCTGCGGGACAGCGGCGGCGACAGGGCAGACCCTTTATGGCGGGGGGGGAATCCGATCCTGCGCGGACCCCGGGCTGCTCGCTGCCGTCTCTCGGTGTCCCCGCTGCAGGGCAGCATTTCCTGTCCACGTGTCGCGATGTGAAGTGGGGGTGGGGGGGGTCTTCAGCGATCCTTCCTGCGGAGAGGAGGGGACGGCGGGTGACGGACGGGGGGCACGTCGTAGTGGCTGGGGATGTGGCTGTTCTTTGGCGAATCGTAGTGGCTGGGAATGTCCCGGGCTGGAGCTGCGCACTCTGCCCCCCCCCGGGCTGCTCTCTGTAGGGAGGAGAACGATGGGAGTTGAGAGTCTCCTGTCCACAGGGCTGTCCATCGGGATGCCCCCCCTCCCCGACAAACCCCCCCCATCCCCCGGGCGTACCTTCCTCGTTGCTGTCAGGCTCCTCCAGGAGCCCAATCTCTGCGTAGGACATCTCTCGCTGCACCGGGGACTTCATCTCCATGTAGCTGCCCTCGGGGGCCTTGGCCAGCGGTGATGGCACGTCCTTGATGGTGGCATAGGGGTTCTCACTGGCTAGAGAGCTGCCGCTGGCCCTCAGCCCCTCCTGGGGGTGCTCTGTGGGGGAGGCAGAGGGGTCCCCATCACCAATATACGGAGAGTGGCCGTGCCCACATGGGTCCTATTCAGATCCCATCCCTGCTCCATCCCATCCCTGCTCCATCCCATCCCCATTCCCAGTCCCATTGGTACCCGTGCTGTAGTACTTCCCCAGGCTGCAGGTGTAGCTGTAGCTGTAGCTCCGCTCCATCTGCCCCCCGCCTGGAAACCAAGCATCATGAGAGTCAGGGGAAGGGGTCCTGTTGGACTTCTCCACCTCCTAAAGCACTCCCTCAAATGCAGGGCTGCCACCTTCCCAAGAGCTGCCCCCTCTTACCCCTGGGTCCCTGTGGTGGTGCTCCTAGGTGCTTCCAGTCGGGGGGAAGGGTAGCATTGCCATCAGGGCCATAGGGCCTCTCTGCACCGGAGAAGGGCTGAGAGCTGGGGACCTGCAGCCAAAACAAGAGACAGCATAGCTGCAGAGCTCCCCATGCCGTGCCTGCTGTTGCTGTCATGCAGCACGATTGAACATGCTGCCCTGTGCCTCGGTGCACTGTGCAAAGCTGTGCCACCGTGCGTCGTCACGCACCACGACGTGCCACACCGCACCGTGTCACCATGCTGTGCCGTACCTTTAGGGAGCTGGCTCTGTCCTGGCTGCCGGGGGCAGGCAGCGTGCACTGGGACAGCGTGTGGTAGCTGGGGTTGGAGTAGTAGTGCGTGTGGTTCGGTGGCACATCTGGGGGACAGACATCAGTGCTGGTGCCGGGGGGGCCTGGAGCCACGTCCCTGCGTGCTGCTCACCTGGCACCACGTACTCAGAGGTGTCCATCCGTCCCGCTGTGTACGCCACGGCCAGGTGTCTGTTCTCCTTTCCTTTCTGCCGGTGGCGGTAGCACAGTGCCACAGCCACCACGGCCACCAGCAGAGCCACCAGGGCCACCAGGCTGACCACCATCCCCAGCGTGCTGTAGGCCAACGGTGGGGCCGGCACGATGGTGTAGGGCTGATCGGGGTTCTCTGTAGATGTAGGGGATGTAGGGACAGTCCTTAGAACAGGTGGGGAGCTGGTCCCCACCATTTTGTCCCCAACCTTCTCCATGCCTGCTCACCAGCCTCACAGTGGGGTCCGCTCCTGCCTGGGGCACACGGGCACGTCCCGCTCACGGGGTGGCAGGTGGCGTTGTGGGGACAGTGGCATAGCTGGTCACACTGCAATCCGAAGGTCCCAGGGGGGCACTCTGCAGGGGTACAGAGGGTGGGTGGCTCTGTATAGCTCCATACTGCTCAGACAGCAGCCCCAAATCACTCCCTCAGGGCTGCACCCTGGGGGTGCACAGAGCCTCAGCTGGGGATGGGGGTCCTCTACCTTCTTCACAGCTGGTTCCTGTCCATCCTGCGGGGCAGTGGCACGTCCCCTCAACCGGGTCACACGTCCCCCTGTTGTGGCACTGGCAACGCTGGGAGCAGGCGTCCCCCCAGAAGCCGGGTGTGCAGGCTGGTGGTGGGGCGAGGAGATGATCAGCCCCCTGGCACCAGCCCTCACCCTTGTCCCCGTGTCCCCATACCCACGCTGGGAGCAATGGGGGCCGCTCCAGCCCGCAGCACAGAGGCAGGCACCGGTGGCATGGTGGCAGGAGGAGCCGTTGGCACAGGAGCAGCTCAGTGCACACCTCTTTCCATAGCGGCCAGGAGGGCATTCTGCGGGCACGGGGCTGCTGTGAGACGAGCGCACCCGGCCTCAGCCCCATGGGGTTCGAGGGATGAGGAGAACCCCCCCCCGTGGGGCACTCACGGCGCTGGCACGTGGGGCCACGGAAGCCTGGGGTGCAGGTGCAGGATCCGTCCTCAGGAGAGCACGACGCTCCGTTGCGGCACATGCAGGGCTGGTGGCAGCCTCGGCCCCAGGAGCCCTGCGGGCAGCTCTGCTTGCACTGCAACCCTGGGGGCAGCAAGAGCAGTGAGGGACAGGGGCAGGGCACAGTGGGGTATCCGCACCCCGGCTCCCTCACCTGTCCACCCAGGCAGGCAGTGGCACTCTCCAGTGATGGGGTCACAGCCATCCGCGTTGGCGCACTCGCAGCGCTGCCCGCAGCCGGCACCGAATGTCCCATTCTGGGGTTCAGGGATGAGGTCGACATTGGGAAGGGTGGCACTGGGGAAGGTGGTGCCTGGAATGGTGGCACTGAGGATGGTGGCACTGGGGATGGTGGTGCTGGAGGCGGTGGCACCGCGTTCTGGTGCTGTAGGGGGACACTCACCGGGCAGGGCTGGTGGCAGCGGGGGCCGTGCCATCCCGGGGTGCAGCTGCAGACCCCACTCTGGGCACTGCAAGTGGCCCCGTGGGCACAGTCGCAGCTCCCATTGCAACCAGGACCCCAGGTGCCATCAGGACACGGTGTGGAGCAGTCAGGTCCGTGCCAGCCTGCAGAGCGAGAGGGTGTTGGGGTGGGCATGGGGATGGACACACATCACTCCAGCTGCCCCCGACCTTCCCCCCCCCCCCCCCCCTCAGCTGTGTGCCCACCTTCCTTGCAGATGCAGGAGCCGTCGATGGGGGAGCACGCAACGCCATGCTGGCAGGAGCAGCGTTCCGAGCAATTCAGCCCAAAGGTGTCCAAGGGGCACAGGGAGGAGCAGTGCTCATCCTGGGGGGAGGGGAAGAATGCGGGGGGGCTGTGAGATGACAGCATCTCCCTACACGCAGGGCTGAGAGGCCACAAACCAGCCCCCTCCCTCCCCTTGGTGCAGTGATGCTGGAGGCAGAGGAGTCGCCCCAAAATCTTGACCTCCCAGGGGACCCACCCTGATGCTACATGGGCCTTCCATGCTAAGCCCCAAGGACACCTGGACCCCAAACTGCCCCCAGGGATAACCAGAACCCAAATCCATCCAGAAGGTGTCCTCCCAAGGATTCTCTGACCCTTGTGTCCCACACTACTGCTCCCCATATCCCTGCAGCGGGGGCAGCTCGGGGACTCACCGTGTAACCAGGAGGGCAGTGGCAGCGCCCGGTGGTCCCATCGCAGGTGCCCCCGTTGAGGCAGAGGCAGAGCTGCAGGCATCCAGCCCCAAAGGAGCCAGGGGGGCAGCTCTCGTTGCAGAAGAGCCCAGCCCAGCCAGGGCGACACGAGCATTCGCCGAGCAGCGGGTGGCAGCTGGGGGCACCCACTCAGTGCCCAGAGCTCCCAGTCCAGGCGCTGGGTGCACTGGGAGATGGCTCTGTGAATGATGCCGGGGACAAAGGGAGGGTACATCGCCTACCTCTGGCTGTGCTGGGGGTGACAGAGGCAGTGGCTTTGGCAGTGGATGCCATAGAGACCGGGAAGGCAGCGGGGCTCCTCGCAGCGGCTGCCCTGAAAGCCGGCCTCGCACAGGCACGCGCCGTCCACATGGAAGCACTGTCCTCCATTGGCACAGTCACAGCTCTCCTGGCAGTCCTGCCCATACCTCCCCACCGGGCACCTCTCCCGGCACCTGTATGGAGACACGGAAGGTGACACGACCTCAAGGTAGCACCCAGACCCTCCCTTTCTGTTCCAAGCTGAGACCATGCAGCTCATTGCATGCCAGGCTGCATCCAGGTCCCATCTGGCAGCATCAGGGCTTGGTTGCCCTGTGTGTCCCAGCCCTGTGTACCTACCTGCATCTGCTGCTGCCACCCCTTCCCCCCTGTGCGCCCCATGCCCACCTCACCCACATCCCCATTCCTGTGTGCCTCCACCCAATGTCCCCCCTTCCTCATTCCCATGCCTCCCTGTGCCTCACTCCACATCTCCCCCAGTCCCCCCGTGCCCCATCCCCACTCACTGCTCTCCGGTGAAGCCGGGCGCACACCGGCACTGCCCCCCCAGGGGGTCACAGCGGCCCCCGTTGTGGCAGCGGCACTCCCCCTGGCAGCCGGGTCCGAAGCGTCCGGGGGGGCACGGTATGGAGCAGATGTCCCCCTGCCACAGAGTGCTGCGGTCAACGGGGCCAGGGGGGACCCCAAAGCGTGGGGAAGAGGGGGTACATCCCACCTACCATCCATCCATGGGGGCAGACGCAGGTGCT